CCTTTTTAAAATTTTGGCCAGGCAACAGCTGTGTCTTCTCTTTTGGTTTGTCTGCCTTAGCTGCTTCGAAGTTAGTCAGAGGTTGAGAATTTTGAGGGTAGTCCAACGATAGGGCTGTTACAGACTAACACTGGAATTTTTACACCTTAAAATATATGGTAAATATTGTGATCCATGCTTCTCCTCAAATGAAATAAATAAATGAATAATGTTGGAAACACACACTCTCTCTCTCTCTCTCACACACACACACATGCACACTCGCACACACAAAGGATACTTTATGCTTTGCTGTTTTTGAGTTTTGGTCATTATTTTAAAAAAGTTTGGAGCCCGGCCTCTTTCTTTCTGTGCCGATAGTGCTCTCGCAAACATGGTGAATGTTCCTAAACCCGGCGGACTTTCTGCAAGAAGTGTGGCACGCACCAGCCCCACAAAGTGACACAGTGCAAGGAGGGCAAAGATTCTCTTTATGCCCAAGGAAAGCGGCGTTATGACAGGAAGCAGAGTGGCTACGGTGGGCAGACTAAGCCGATTTTCCGGAAAAAGGCTAAAACTACAAAGAAGATTGTGCTGAGGCTTGAATGTGTTGAGCCCAATTGCAGATCTAAGAGAATGCTGGCTATTAAGAGATGCAAGCAGTTTGAACTGGGAGGAGATAAGAAGAGAAAGGGCCAAGTGATCCAGTTCTAAGCTTCATATTTTGTTAATATTATGAAGACAATAAAATCTTGAGGTTATATTCACTTCATTTGGTTGCAGTTGGTCTTTTAAGAGGGAAATAAACTAGTGCCATCAATTAAAAAAAAAAAGTGTGGAGCTATTATAAAAAGTTGCCGGAGAGGGACAAAAAAAGTCTGTTCAACATCAGCAGGCCATCTGACAACACTTAGGCTTCAGTGTGTCTTCCTGGGCTACACACAGCTCCATCCAGTACAGTCTCATGACTAAACGCTGCTTGATTACAAGGTCAAGGTGCTTTAGGCCAGGGATGAAGGCTGCCCTGACAGAAAATGAACAGAACAGAAGACCACCCCCTGCCAGGCCCTGCAAGTAGTACGGGCTGACTTGGCCCCTTCATGGTCTGGCTCTCTTGCAAAGAACAGCCGGTCTGCCTGGCCATCCAGGGTCTGGCTTTTGTCCTTTGGCTATCATTTCTGTCATTTCCAGTCATGTGGAGGAGCTACTGGAAAGGGAGAAAATGGTTTCTCTAAAGGCTGCAAGCCTTCCAGCAAACCTGAAAACTATCCTGGTTTTAATCTATCTGGAGGCCATCTATCTGGGCATTACTTAACTTGTCTGAAATGGTCAGTCCCAATTTAATGAGAAGCATGGGGTGCTGTCAATCGAGGGGGTGAAAGCTGAGCAAAGGCAAATTAAGGCCAAATATCAGAAGATTTCCTGGTCATGAACCTGGAAGGAGGAAAGGGTGAAGTGTGGCTGCTATGGTCAGTGCCCTAAATTAGACTGGGGAATGGTGGAGAGAAGCCCATTGTGGACTTCTTCTCTTGATGAGTCCCCACTGGGTTTACGTAGCAAAAGCACTCACCTGCTTCTCTGCTCCTCATATCTCTTTCATAAGATGATGAAAAGAGTGAGTCAAATGCAATACATTTAAAGATGTATATGATTCTGGCTACTTTCACTGGGGGAACTAAGAGTCTTCCCAGTGTCTCTTAAAAGTTTTGCACTAGGTGGGAGTATTGTCCCTATTGATAGTGGGGGCAGAGAGGAGACTGGTCACTCTCCTTGAGCTGCCTGCCCCCCACCCTCTCTCTGCCTTTCTCTGCCTTCCCAGCTCTATGCCCTAGAAGCCTGACCTCTACAGATAACACCATCTGGCTTCCCTTCAGTCTGGCTAGTCGGTGGTACCGGAGGAGATGAGGGCGGGGTGAGGGAGAGGTGGGGGCATTCATTCCTTCTGTTCCCTCCCTGACCCCCTGCCTTCTTCAGTGGCTGTGTTCTTATACGAGAGGGATCTGCAAACACTTTCCATAAAGGGCCAAAGAGTAAATATTCTAGGCTTTCTAGCTCAAGAGACAAACTCTAGGATATTATATAAGAACTTACATAACCATTTAAAAACAAGGAAAACCACTCTTAGTTTGTGGGCCATATAAAAACAGGTGGTAGGGCAGGTTTAGATTGCTGATTCCCTCTCTATGGCCACAGCTCCCAGTGGGTGGCCCCTTCTGGCCACCGGCTCCGAGGACACCGTCTCTCCTGCTCGTTCTTTAGGCCCCGGGGCTCACTGCTCCCACTGTTGCTAGTCCCTGTATGCCTGGCCACCCCTGTGAGTTCCCTTAACCCTGCCCTCGCCAAAAGCTCAGTCCTTTTGAGTGTGCTTCTGTTGCCGACCAAGACCATGACAAATCCAGCGAGAGGCTCAGGAAAGGGAAGCAGAGTTTATGGTACTACATGAGGCTAAATGTTTTTCCAAGGCCCGGTGATGTCTACAGGTGCTGGGGCTAAGATGGGGCTCATCATGGAGCACGAAACTGGTTCAACAGTATGAACGTGGAAGTTCTGGTAGCAAGTCTGCCCTCCTCCTGGGGAGACAGACAATCTTACTTTTGAATTCCTTTCTGGGCTTCTATTTGAAACCTCCTTGTTCCTGCCCCTCCCTCAACCACCTGGCCCGGAAACACACAAGAGGACCTCTTTTTCTCTCCTCTCCTCAAGGAGATGGCAAGAAGAATGTCACCTTCTTCAGCCTGACGGTGCCAAAGTGATCTGTGTGTGTCACAGGAGATAGTCTAACCAGCAGCATTAATAATTAATCCTATGTGTCAGCTCCCTAACAAGAGATGCTGGAGTCCCAGTGCTGGGCCAGCCACCGGGCTGTCTAGCACAGGCTAAAGATGAGGTAAGCATAACTGGTGCCTCCAGGGGTCCAATCTGGTGGGGGGAAGACTCAAGCATGTGCAATCACACCAGCGGGCTATTGTACAGAGTGAGCTGAGCAGGCGTTCGCTTGAGCTGCCCCACCGGCAGGAGGCAGACTGGAGGCTGAGACTTCTGACAAATCGCTGAGTTGTGGTCATGGCTCTTAGCCAAGTGCCAAGGTTCCTGCCCTCAGGGAGCCTCGTATGGAAGGCCGGCTGGAACCTTCGGTGACAATTTCTTAGCCGGGCTTGTTCAATCCCAGATTGCTGGGCCCCACTCCCAAAGTCGTTGATTTAGTAGATCTGGGTTGGGCCTGAGAATGTGCATTTCCAGTAAGTTCCTGGGGGATGTTGCTGCTGCAGGTCCAGGGACCGCACTATGGGAACCAGCAGGTGAACACAGTGACTAAGGAGGAGGCCCAAGAGCAGGGGCTGTGGAGGGAAGATAATTGGGGGCAACAGAGGGGTACGGCTTAGGGAGTTTGGATGTTAAAAAGGAGGCATGGGGGGAGGGGGAGGAGTTTCACTGGATGAGAAAAAGTGAGCAAGTGGTGATGGCCTGTGTGCCTTTGAAAGCCTTCGTGAGATGCTAAGTCATTACGCCTGGGAATCTGTATTTTTAAAGCTCTCAGGGTAACTCTGATACTTACCCAGGTTTGAGAACCTCTGTATGCTTAGTATCTGGCAGTACCCAGCACGACTTATTGAACTGAACTAATTCCAAGTGCGTGTTGGGAATGTTTTTATATTTCTAAATCTAGTCGTTCTCTATCCCTATTTATTTCATAAATCTCAGTCCTAAACCACCAGTTAGCAGAGGAATAACATGCTCTCGAGCAGAAATTGGATTCTTCAAACAGAATTAGCGTTCTTTCCAAATCCAAGATTACAGAAATGAAAATCTGGCTATAACCAAGTATGTCATGTTAGTCACAAGGTACAGATTCCTAAAAACGACATAATAGAAAATTCCCTTTCTTGTTCATCTCGGAGACGCTGCTTGGCTCCTTCCTGTCTGCACACGCATGCACGCCACTGCATGTTCTGCATGAGAAAATAATTAGAAGCAAACAGCTGTTAGGCAAGCAAGCTACGTTTCGCCCACATCTTTCCAGAGTTCAAGCTAATGCCCCGAGGGGGCGGGGTGGGGGGGGGACTCATCTTGAAAAAGAGTCTCCTTGCTTTAAGCACAGGAAACCAAAATGAAAATATAGTGCCGTTAATGTGAGCATGAGCTAGCTTGGCTGAGAAGAGACAACTACCAATGACATTTCACTCCATTGTTTAAAATGGTTATTTCTATTGATTTCATAGGACAAGTGCTGCTCTAAGATGAGCAAATAACTTAGTGAATGATGAGTATTATTTTTGCTTTCATTGGAAGAGGGGTAAGGCTGTGTGGGTGCATGCGTGCATGTATGTGATGAGACCTGGCTCTTAACCCAGGGTCTTTCACTTGCGGCCTTGGAATTGGCCCAGTTTCTGTTTGCAGTACAGAAGTAGTGGAAGAACGAGAGGAAGAGAAGAGAAGCCTTCAGGAAGCATTAACTACCTTCTATGGCTTACACTTCCTAAGAAACCAAAGAGGTTTATGTTCTGGAGCTGTGGAGGGGAAGAAAGATAGTGGAGAAAAAAAGGGGTTTTGCTCGCAGCCAGGAAGAGTGAGTCCTAGCTCCATGGCCAACCCCTGAAAGGCTGGCAGGAGTGTTGGATAAAGAGCAATGGGCTTGTGTTACGGCAAGAGGAAGAGAGATAAGGCATCAAGGAGAATGCTGCCATTTTTGTTAGATAGTGGAACTGCCTACCAATGAAGTCGTGAGCTATTATAGAAATTTATAGTCATCTTCTGGGGTTACTACCCCAGTCTCTTGACTCCTAGTCCACTTGCATTCCACTAGTTTGCCACGGTGATTTTAAAAACCCTAGTCTCAACTTTGATACTGTCGAAATAGAGCAAGTAACTGCCTGTACTTTTAAGTCCATGATTTTAGAAATGTGTTCCTTTGTGATAATCTGGAATTTGGTTGGATATTTTATCATGTCAAGAGTCTGATTCTTCCTATGTAAGTGTCTTAGCAGGAGTGATGATGGATTTCTGAGTAGAGAGAGACGCACCTTGATCGGGGAGTACCACTTCCGAGGGGAAGAGGGCCGCCGCATGTTGTTGTTGAGATTTCGAGGCTCGGGGAATTCGTATTCCTGCTCCGGCATTTTGACTCTGGCATTCTTTGCCTTTTCCAACTTAGCACCTTCTTCTGTGGAACCCTTTTCTCCCCAACGAACCTAAAATAAGTAACATATGATAAAATAAAATGACAAAATAAAGTATAACGTCCCTGGAGAATAGGCTTCGTACATACATGGGTGACGTGCAATGCAAGTGCTACGCGCTCCCCAATTCCTTTGGGTTTTGAGGGCCAGGGAAGAGGACGGTGTGGAAAAAGGAGAGAGGAAGGGTTGAAGGGGCAGAGAGAGCAAGCTGGGCAGATGGATGTTTAGGGGAGGAACTGTCCAGGCTGTGGGGACAGCATGTGCAAAGGCCCCGCAAGCCCACGTAAGAACTTTGGATTTTAGTCCAGTGAGAGAAGAAACCACCGAGGGGTTTGAGCAGATGAGCAAACTATTTTGACTCAATGGTGGGCAAGCTACGGGGGTGCACCACTAAAGGGGTATACCTGCCATCTCTCCGTCCACACCCCCATCAGACCTCAAGTATGAGTTTTCACCAGTTTTATCTGGTTTTCCAGCACAGAGTAGTTGGCACATAGATGTGAGTACATGAAGCTGTGTTCTTACCTCCATCCTTTTAATGCCTCCAACGCCTCGCCCACCATAGTAAGAGGCATCTACGGTAGGCCACTTTTTCTTGGGCAGACCATCATCATCTTCTTCCTGCAGAAAGATTGTCATACATGAAGGAAGCAAAGCACAACTGCTCTAGGTACATGTGTCCACCTTGGCAAAGTGGATGAGAGTTGACTGCCTGGGCTGAACTCTGGGATCTTCTTTGGGGCAAGTCAGTTAACCCATCTGAGCTTATCTTCCTTATCTGTAAAGTGGGGGTAAAAGCAGAACGACCTGGTTCGATGCTGGCACAATCTTGGGACCTGTTCCCTTGTGCATCTCTACTCCTTCAGAGGGTATTTCATCTAATCCCATCTACGTGCTGATGACATGTGTGTTTATATCTTCATCCCTGACTCCTCTGAACCCAAATGTTGTCTTGAAATTTGGTCTCCTCTCAGGGGACTAATAACCATCTCAAGACTACCACATCAAAGAGAAGTCTCCCCACATCCTCACCTTAAACCTGCCCCTCGTCTAGTCTTCCCCACTGCCTGGAGCCACTCTTGAATCCTCTCTCTCCCCCACTGCCCCTCTCCCAACTCATCTCAGTTTGCCAGCAAATTCTGTTGACCTTACTTCTAAAAGACCTCAAATCTGTGACTTCTCCACCTCCACCTCCATCCCCACCCCACCCCACTGGTCCCAAGTCCCCTACACTTTCTCCAGGATACTACAGTAGGCACCTAGCCGGCCTCCCTGCCGCGCTCCTCGCCTACAGTCTGTTCTCCACAGAGCAGCAGAGGAGAATCCCGACCCCAGCTCTGCCCTGCAAACTCTGGCCTTAGCTCACCTCTCCAGCCTTCTTCCTTACCACGCCCTGCCTCCCTGCGCTCCAGCCTGCTTGCCCTCTCCCTGTCCCTCAGAGACTGAGCACATTCCTGTCTTGAGGCCTGTGCACAAGCTGTCCCCTTGCCCAGGGATGCTTCCCCCCTGCTCTTCTCCTGGCTGCCTCCTTCCTGTGACCCCTGGAGAGGCCTTCCCTGGATATCTCTCTAAAGTAGGCCCAGTCTTTTCATCCCACCAATCTGTTTCATTTTACATAATGGATCCTAACATGGCTTGATATTTATTTACTGTTGGTCTCTCCGGGCTGGAATGTAAGGGTTCCATGGAAGCTTCTGTTTATTTGTCATGTTCACCATTGCATTTGCAGCTTTTTGAATGGCACCTAGCATGTGGGAGGTACCTAAGAATTGTCTTTTGAATTTATAACCAAGTGAGATGAAATGATTCAAATAAACCAGTTAACTCAGTGTCTGCAGCTTAGCTCAGTGACCGGAAGTTAGTGCTTATTATATTTTTTAAGATGAAGGGAGAAAACAAGAGGAACTTGTAACTTTATGGATGAAAAAGGGAAGGATAATTAGCAACACTGTTCCTTATCTTAGCACCGAAATTATTCCTGTTGAGGGGAGAAAAATATCACCATCTACAGTCATGCACAGATGGGTTACAGGTTAGTGGCATGATTTCCTTCCCGGGCGGAGAAAGGAAGCTGAAAAAGGAGTCTCTGCAAAGCAGAAGAATAAGCCAAAGAGGCTGAAATTGTTCAGAACAAGCCTGCTTCCCACAGCCTATGTTGGTGATATCGGAGAGTTAAGGACTCCGAGTTGTATCCTAGGTGGAGCCTGGTGGAGTCCTAGGTGGAAAGGGGCATCCCATGCAGGAGGCAAGGAACCGAACGAAGACAAATCATCAGCAGGACAGAGATCCAGAGATGACAAAGCAAAGCAGTAACACATTAATGCATTAAAACTCTCTGGGTAACTTACTGTGCTTGGGATGGGCAGACTTCGTTTTAAAAAATTTGAAAATTTTTTATATATCTTAAAGGACATGATCACAGCAGACCAGGGGATTTGCAACATCTTGGCAGCTGATACTTGGGTTGGTCTCTCTTTTTAAAACAGATCTGTCCTTCTTCACCATGGGTCTGTGAGCCCTGAATGCAAGGTGGATTCTGTTGCCCTTGTATTCTAGGTCTTGTACGGAGCCTGGTGCACAGGAGGTGGTCAATAAGCAGGTACCGAGTTCGCGATAACCACAGCTGAATTTATGAAGCCTTTGCCATGCATGTGCCAGTCACTCTTCCAAGTGCTTTACGTGCAATAACCTTTTAATCTCAGAGCGGGCAGCTCGGTAGGTGGGGCTATAGTGTTCATTTTACAGAGGAGGAATAGAGCGATTCGGTGACTCAGGTCACCCTGCTTGTGGGTGGTAGAGCCCGGGGAACGTCACTCTCGTTTGTTTCTCAGTGTCGGCAAAGTTCTGGGTTTTGTCCTTTGGGTTTTGCTTTTCCAGTCATTTGATGGTATCAAATAAATGCTACTTTTCTACTTCTCCCCCCTTGTACCTGCACATTTGGAGGCTTTAGGACTGTAAGACATGATAAAATAATAAAACCAAAGAGCCCCAAATATCAGTTCACACTACTTTACCTTAGGAGAGGATTTCAGAAGGCTTAGGATGTTAAACCAAGAGCCTTAGATATCTTACACATACGGTTAAACCATCCCTAGAGGTGGGTGTCTGTGTGTCATATATAAAATATGGCTTCATGGCTGGTCTCGTGCAGTTTTCCAAAGGAGAGAAATGAAATTATATCACCCCGAACTGAATATAGCAGCACCAAGAACATAAGAAACTCCAAGACTAAAGTCGATTTATTCAACAGGGAACGGAAATGGTCTTAGGAGTCTCCTAATTTTTTTTTTTTTTTTAAAGAGCAGGAGTACAAACACTGGAGACTATTTACTGGAGCCTTTTCATTGCACAGTCAGATCTGGAGAGATGAAGGGACCAGTGGAGCTGAAGCTCTGGTCCTGTTCCCTGATGCCTTGTCCAGGGTCTCCCCACAATGTGCCCCCGGAGCTGCCCTTCCTCATGTGGTCCCTCCCGCCATGGACTTGCTGCAGGCCCTGGTGTCCACTCCACTGAGATGTGCAGCAGGGGCTGGCCTTCCCACAACAGGAAATGCCAGGACGTCGATCTGCTCCACCAAGCCTGCCGTGTAATCCCCTGACCCGAGCTTGCCTGCCAAACTTAAACAACAACAGCAAAGACAACACAAAGGCCCAGGGTTTGACCGACGGCGGCGGGAGAGTCAGAATTTCCCTGCAGTTACCATGGCTCTGTTTACACATTCTAGAGATGGGAGGGTTTTGCAATCTTCAGAAGAGAAGGGAATCTTTGATGTGTCTTTTCATTTGGCCCAAAACTGATGGAGTAAAATCACAGTCCCCAGCAATGCCACTAAGAACATCGGCAACACCTGAAGCAAATCTCTCTACATCGAATGAAGTAGAAAGTCTCTCTTGGGGAGCCCCCATCACACTGCCCTTCAAGGATGTGGGGGGGGGGTGTGGCGAGGAAGAACTGCCAGGACACAGATCCTTTGCGATTATTAAAAGACAGACGGGATAAGCCAAATTGCTCCGTGTGAGCAAAGTAGTAGGGATGGAGCGTTTGTGGGCAGTCAGAAGAGGATGCGCGCGAGAGAGTGGAGGTGAGCAGCCGGCAGGCTGCCCAGGGCCCCCCTGTGAAGACGACCTCAGGCCCCTCCCAGGAGCAGGAATGACAAGGGTGGTGGCCTGTGCTGGGACTCACCCCTGTACTTTCAAACCTTTTCAAACCTCTTTGCAGACGGTCTTGTGCCCGTGGTGCCTTGGCGGGGGTGGGGCGGGGGGAAGTGTCGGAATCAGGTTTGCAAGATGGTGCTTGGCAGCTGAAGAAGATGAGATACGGCCGAAGCAAGAAGGAGGAGTCAGTGGTGTCTGGGGAAACCGCAGAGATTAGGGAGGGATGCTGGTTTCCCATCAGGGGAAGTTATGTTTAAATCCTAAAGGATGTGGTGGCCCCGGACATCTAGTTGGCTGACGCGTGGGTAAAACAAGTGGCAGCACATTACTCAGATGGTAGACGCCCCTTCTGAGCGGCTGGTCCTCAGGCAGCCCTGCTCCGGGAAGAGAGAGCTCCAGAACACCGAGCCTGACACACACGTTCGGTTTGCCCATATCTGGGTTTGTCCTGTGCCGCCCTCAGACACTGAATTTCGCCATCTTTCTAATGATGCCAGGCTTTTGTACAACTCCATGCTTCGCCACTCATGGCTCTGTGTGCTCAGAACGTCCTTCCTCCACTGCTTCTACGCTTCTTTTAGAATATCGCTGGAATGTAAGCTATTCTATGAAGAACTCTCCGATTCCCCCACAGAATTCAAGCCTCTATCCTGGGCCAAATTAGGCGGCCCACCCCCACTTCACTGCACTGTGGGCACCAGATGCAACTATTTACGCAAAGGAGAACGTAACTGAAGCAGAGTGGAGCCCAAGGAAACAGTTCCATTACCATTCGTTGAAGGGTAACCCGTCTTCAACCCTGAGGAGAAGCCCTCTCTAGCCACAAACAGGGCCCTTTATTTGTCTATTCTTTCATTTACTCACTCAAGCAACTGGAGCTGAGCCCCCACGGCTTGCCAGCACAGTGTTATATTTTGAGAAAAATAGAGTGAAAAGAATAAATCTGCCACCAAGATTGTCTACATTTATAGAAGAGTATGTCTTGTGAGGGTGACGACATAAGTAAAGGACGGAGGCCACTGAAACTCCCGGGACCCCAAGGCTCTGGAGGGCAGAACCCAGAGCAGAACTGGCTGTACTGTCTCATCTGAGGTCTTTGGGGACAAGCCAGAGAGGTCACCCTCAAGGTCAGTCTTGGAGATGAATTCCTAGGAGTGAATTGGTAAGTCAGAAAAATCCAACAACACTTCTCTTTGCAAATACCAAAAATCCCAGCTGACCGAAGATTTCCCCATTCTGAGTTGCATCTCACATGTCATGACCCCGTATCATATCTGTTCACATGCACACACAATGATTAAGGACAGCATCATGATTGTCCCGTATTCTTCAATGAGGAATAGTGTATTTCCTTTTTTAGTAGCGATGTTCCTTTTTTAACCTATTGAAATAGAGAGTACTGAATTCTGGGCCTGTTCTAGGACTAATGCTTGGAGCATGTGTGTGTGTGTGCGCGCGAGCGCGCATGAGAGTGTGTATTTGATGTCCACTGTAAAGAAGATGCCTGGCAGTCGCTTGGCTCTTCACCCCTCCAGAGTGGGGGGCGACTCTGGCTGTCCTTGGAGACATAGCTGTGAAGCAGTTCAACTTGTCTGGTCCTATACAGGTTATATGATTTTCCCATAGCTCGGTTTTCCCATCTAAAAAGTTCTTGCCACAGAGAAATGTTAGGATGAGTGAGCATGATAATGAACCTGGAAATAAGTTCATTATTCAAAGCCAGGTGCTTATTGTTAATTGTATGCCCACCCATGTCAACGTCTTCAGTATGCATCCCTCTTCCTCCCAAAGAAACATAGTCACAAAATCCACGGAAGGTGATGTAGAACTAAACCATCAGATGAAGTACTACATTATTGGATTCCCCCTTAAACTGCCAATAATTTGGAGTATCTAGAGACTTTGTGAGAAATCCTGACTCTGCTGCCAATTAGAGAAGACTCTCAACTCAGGAAATACCCCTCTTAGTTGTCAAAATTGAACTTTCTTGCTTTCACTGAGGTCTCGAAATTTCAAGTCTTTTTTCTTTGTCTTCTCTTTATACAGGAGGATCACTGTTGGTTGCGTGGAATCTCAGAAAGTCATGCTTTTTTATATTATGCATTTCGATATTCCCTATTAAAGAGGACCACCAAGAGCTTGTTATAAAGTTGTGTTCATTCTAAGTTTAGCTATTTAAATAGTAGATATGTCTCCCTTAGGATATGATGCTTATAGAACTGGTTAAAGTTTGGATAATTAATGTTGAACTTGTTCACATATATGGCAGAGCGTTTGACTTCATAGAGCCATTAATTGAGTGTTAGACACTGTGTTAAACTCTTTGGGGATAAGTCCAAGATTAGTGAGCTCTAGATCCTGACCTTCAAGTAGCCAATGGTCTTAAATTTTGATGCAGAAGAAAAGGTCAGTAAAATACCCTGGAATGAGGAAAAGGGAAAAATGAGAAATTAGTCCCGATGGGAGCAATTCCAGTGTGTTTTGTGGAGATAGTAGCACATGAGCTGTGCCTGAAGGACTGGGATTTGAATGCAGAAAGCTGGAGTGGAGAAGGTTCTAGAAGTCTAGATTCAGACTATGATTTTCAGGGCACAGTGTAAGATCCTTTGTAGAGCTAAATTATGTTATCTGTTCCTGTGGGATTTATTTATTTTTTTCTGCTGAAACATTAGAAAGGAGATTTGGGCTGCTTAACCACAAGGCAAAGGAATTATCAGGGCCAACAAAAATGCAAAGTGATCAGTGCCGCCTGCAGCCCACCCCAGCCAGCCTGGAAACCCCTTCAGGTCTAACACAACCCTTTAGATCTCAAGTATCCCAAGGTTGTCCTTCTGTTTCAGAAACCAGGCCTGCCTTCTTCAGGTGAAAGTATGACTTCTCTGGAAATATTGGATGAAACTAGGTGGTGTTGGGTAAATCACACCTCACGGTCTGGTACCTAAGTCCCTTGCTGTATTTTGACCACAATGGCTGCCAGGTCACCTTCCAAAGGCAAACACAGTGTCAGCACCAGAAGAAAGGGCAACAGCTCCTCTAACTGAACATAATGAAGAGAGGGAACATTCTTCACCTCAGGGTAAACAGAGCAACTTCATCAAGCGACAGCTTCTTGCCCTATTTTCCTTTGGGAGTATGAGAGAGCCGCACACAAGGGACACACAGCCAAACTGGAACCTGTGGAACTCGCCGCAGTGCTTTCTCTTGAAGGATTAAGAAAAGGCTTTCGTGGATGTAAAGAGGGGTTTTCTTCCTCCCTCCTCTTTGCAAAGCAATGTAATTTCCTCCCTTGATTTCTGGGCAGAAAATTTGCATTCCAATAATATGTGCTTTAATTGATTGCAGCTGTTAAATCCCTTGGCTTACGAGCATGTGGTTCAGGATATAACAGACCCATGGAATGTTAAATTCAATCATTCTTCTCTCCATATGCAGGAAACTTGACAAAGGCATTGGGAAGAGGAAGGGTGAGGGGGTTGTGCTCAGTTTGCACACAATAGACTTTAGGGGTTGAGGGCAATGAACTTGAATCCTCACCCCTATATCTTTTGATCCCATTAAGTTTTCAGACTTGCACCCTGGCTTCTAAATTGGTGAGTGTTAGATCCAGGGAGGCCTGTTGCTTTGGGAGCGATCAGAGGTTGAGGAGGACAACTCATGGCCGGGCGCGCCTGCCCGGGGACGCTCCTTCTCACCGTTAGCCCTTCATGCCTCCACCAGATTGTACCCCAGGCCATGCTTGCCCCAGAATTGCCTACTGGTGGAGTCTAAGATGTTTTCTCTTCCTTTAAATGATGAGGATTTGAGAGCAAGGTCAGGATATTAGCATATCCAACTCCCCACTCCCCAATATATTTTTATTACTGCCTGGCAAATCTTTAAATCTTTAAACATTGTTTTCAATGAAAGAAAAAGGGAATACCTCAGCATCAGGCTGTTCATAGAATCACTAACTGTTTGGAGAATGTATCAAATTTGCCCTGATCTACATACATGAAGCATACCTTTCTGCAGGGAAAAGAAAAACCTAAACTGTCTGTGTTAGAGGAGAAAATTGTATGGATAAAAATATCTATGTTTGTATCTCAGATTTTATCTTTGCAGGTAGAAAACCCTCCCAAACCATTCCGTCTGTGGCCACCACAGTTCCGTTCAGTTCCTGTTCATCCTTGATTCAGAAAGGACCCAAGACTTCCCTCCCTGCTCCCTCCGATGCAGTGGTGGGAGCCTGGGCCTGACTTAGCTCTGCTTTGCAGGGGCCTGAGTCCTGGACCAGCCCAGCCAGCTCTCTGCTCCACCTTACCACCCTCTCCATTTGGCTGCACCCCGCTCTGGTCACTTACCTCACTCTCCTCCGCAGGGGGTGGAGGGACCTCCTTGATAATCTGAAAAGAAAAAAAAAAAAAAAGAACAAGTCAGTGGAAATCTCCGGCCACCTGTTTTCCAAGAGGCCTGTTCTCCAGAAGGGTAGTATGGCCATAATTACCACTGTGATGGGCCCACGCAAGAAAGGCTGAGTCAATGCCAGGATGTGTCTTTCTGGGCAGAATAGCTCAGTTAGTTAGAGCCTGATCCAGACTGAGGCTTGTGTCTTCAACTGTGTCTGTTTTATATAGAGAAAAAAATGTTCCACAAGGGACAGTTTCCTCTCTCATTTCTCATTACCCAGGTAGCTGTCTTGCAAATTTATTCGCGCATATGTTCATCCAGTTATTCATGCATCAAATCGTTTATCTACCCATCCAAACATCGGCACATGTGGCAGAGAACTGTGCGCTGCACAAGAGAAGATGGTGCTGCAGAGATGAGTCAGGTATGCACCACACTCAGGCTGTTGGCAGTCTTGTTAACTGCCACTGGTCCCAAATGGTACCTACCCAAGGAGGGAGGGTGTGATGGTCAGGCAGACCAATTCCTGACAGAGGGCAGCAAAAGAGGGGTAACCAGGGATTTCTTTTAGGGCCCTGACTTTTAAGGGGCACAAAGATTTACATTACAATATTATAAGATTGTATTCTGCAACTTCCCCATCATCAGGACTGAAGAAGAGAGACATGTGGACACTCCGGGAGGGGAGAGCAATCCGGAGCTCCTTCTAACAAACGAGAGGATGATTGACGCATGGGAGGAGGACAGTTCGGTGACAGTGAGCAGCTCCTCCTCCTGCTTGTCCCCAGTTTGCACGCTTCATGCGTAAAAGGAAACCACGTAACCCTGCAGTTAATCAGATTTAGAGTCTTTTATAAAGCAACTTGGCCATTATCTACTGTGACTCCACCAAGTCCCTTGGAGGCTCCCTCCTCTCACCCCAAGCTTAGAATTTTGGGTCCCCTACATGCCGTCTTTTCCTTAGAGAATTCTGGTAAACACAAAGGTCATTGTATATCTCTTGATGTCCTAGTGCCAGGGCTGGCCTGGGCCACTGTGAGCATGGGTGCTCAGGCCCTCCCACGGGACCAGCCAGATCCTTACTCTTCTAGTTGGAGAGCTCGCCTGGCTGCTGACCTGGCTGCCTTCTAGGCATCAAGGTCTTCCTCACCTCTCCCTCCTGAGCACATGTCTCCTTTGATTGGATGACTTGGGGACCTCATCGGGGCTCTGATCCCCACTGCTATCACCCACACTACCACTATCTGTAGTATCATCTCTGTATGTTGAGATTGGCTACTGACTTGAGGTTGTACTAACACCAGCCAGGGAAGGGAGACTCCAGCCATCTAAAAGGATGGTATTCAATTAATTAAGAGGCCGAGGTTAAGGCCTCCAGGGCTTTCAAGCTGTCATTTCATCTGTGCCCACTTCCTGGCCACTGTGGGAAGCCTGCTGAAGGTCTTTGGAAAGCATGAAGCCATGATTTTGCTCACCCACTCAACACTGGCTCCGAATTCCTTAAGGAAATCTCTGGGGAGGGCCATTACTGTCCAATGCTGACTTCCCATTGTCCCAGAGGTGGGGATGATTTTAAAATAGGAAATGGCCAGAAACTGGAGGGAGAGGTGAGGAGATGGGGACAGCAATCTGGCATGGGTCTTTTCTCTTAGGGCTGGGTTGGGAGGGGAGTGAGAGGGAGAGCAGGATGTCGGGGAAACACAGACAGATGTTAACAGAAGTGCTGTGGGCAGTGTGCACAGCAAGGACGCTGGGTATATAGAGGTTCCGTGCAAAGCAGCTGGGCTCTTGTCTTCACGGCGCTGCCAGCTTCCTCCCTCACTGCATGGAAGCACAGCATTGTTGTCCAATGGGAACCCCAGACCTGCCTTTTTCTGATTGTGAAGATCTGACCAGTCCTTGAACCTCCCTGGGCTCTACTGTTCTAATCTGTTAAATGGGAGTAACGTGACCTTGTAGAGTCATGATGAGCAATAATGTTTGTAAAACAGCTGGTATAGAGTGGGTGTTCAATAAATGGTACATGCCATTATTATTATTATTATTATTCTTTGCCTTTCTTTTCTCCTTTCTCTATCTCTTGCCTTTATTACCCCTTTAACGAAGGTTTCACTTAACCCCCTGCATATACTGATCTACTAATCACTATGTATGGTGGTTTCCATAAGATGAGTAAGGCAGGACACTGGTGCTCAGACAGTGGTCAGGGGGCTTGAAAATGGCCAAGGGACGTCAGGGTGGTTAGCAGTAGGGTGTCTCACCACACGTGTGTAGGCAGGTGACATGAACCAGGAAGTGCAGCACCAAGTGGCCTACGACTCAGACCAACCCAACTGTGGTTGCCATTCAGAGTCACTTCCTGAGTATTTACTGAATTCCACACCTAGCAATGTCCCAAGGGGAACCCACAAGACAATGTCAGAATACACAATATATCAAGTATTAATCAAAGGTGGGCTAATTTGTAATCCAGGTTCCATGCTGACACACTGTAAATGGGCACCTGAGCTTCTGGAAAAATGCCACCATGCTCAGGTAAATAAGATGAGGCATCTCTAATCTGGCCTTACTGGCTGGGTGCCTGGCAGTACTGAGCAGGAATGAAGAGGAAGTCTTCCTATTGCTTCAAGCTCTGCCACCATCAGGCCTCCCCTGGGACAGCAGGAGAGCGTTTCAAAGAATGATCCAGACAGGCGACGTTGAAGTCATTACATAACTATTCCAAGTCATGAAGCTAGACAGGCTGTCTGTGAGTGAGCCAAACCCCTGTGCCAAGACCAGCACACAGGCCACCCAAAGGAATGCTCTGAGCACAGGGACATGTCGGCCCTCTCCACCCCAGCCCTCGGAGGGCCAGAGCCCATGCCTAGGAGAGCAGTTGGGCAGCACACCGCACCGCTCTCGAGCCAGCGGTACCACTGCAGCCTGGCTGCACAGAGGGGCCTGGGGCCCACGGGGTAAAAGGCCAACTGCCCCACCTCCACAACGCGTGATGTGCCCCCACCTTTCCACCTCACCCCTCTTCACTCTCCCCTTCACTTCCTGCACTTCAGCATCTTGGTCACCTTTCTGCTCCTTCCGTGCACCCTGCTTGTTCTCACTTGTAGCCTAAATGCTTTCTAGCCCACCCTGCTTTGTCCCTGTGCCTGCACATAACCAGGTTCACACCGACTCATTGACCCATCGACTCAGATAGATCAGTAAATACACCCACCCTCGAAGTCGCCCCTGACCTCACAGCACAGGTAAGTTCCCCTTTTTGGGATCTCACAGAACCCAGTGTCTCTTGTAGCACTTTTAATGATAACTAACAGATGAATTCAACAGTTCTTTGCTTCCAACTAGTATGACTAGAAAGCATTTAATTCTAACTAGAATGTAAGCTGGAATCAGCTGAGCACTGCCAAGCATAGGCATGATTTGGCCTACTTCCCTTCTGAGAAGGTTCTGGGAGATTCTGCTTGGTTGTGAGTGGGCTCGTCAGATCTTTCCCCGTTAGGAGGGACAAACAGAAGATGGTAAGGTTGAAGACTTCCTTAGTAAAATGTTTCAAAGGAGAACGCTCAATAAACATGTTTATAGGATAACATGGTGGCACTGAATGGCAGTACTGGGGACAAATCTGGGGCCATTTTTCATATTTCTCCTCCAGAGGCCAGCACCACTTCTCCACTTACTGGCGTCTTTAGCTTGGATATTGTGGACGGGCAGAAGGTGACCATTTGCTTCCTTGGGAGAACTGCCCTAGAGATCCTTCTGCATTAATGGTTGGACTGGTGACGTAGAGGGGATAAGAAAAATGAGACAGAATGTGGACTTTTGAATTCTATTTGTGTTTCTTTGCTATCTGAGAACTTCTTGAGACTGTCTCTGCTGTGAATTGGGAGCAATGACCCTTCTCCCCTATCACTGGTTTCAGCCATGTTTGTTTAGGTAGACATGAGATAGGGCCGGATTTGACAAAGACTGTTGTATGGATAAAGGAAAGAAAAGATCGGGTAGAATCTTACTGAACTGAAACCTTACTGGCAACTTCTCACTGAGTCAAGACAAAGTACAGTTTTGTGTACACCCCTTAGTCTGACTACTGGAAATGGTAATGGTGAAGACGTGGAGACAGAGCTGACGTGGCACAAACACGGTCGGAAGATCATATACACCCAGGTTCTCGTTGATACCTGGGAACTGTACTCTGGCTTTATGAGTCAAGTTCACCTGTTTAGGTCTCTGTAATGCTCTCTTTTAAAATTAATTTTATAGAGTGTTAAGGTAAAAAAAAGCACCTGCTGAGTTTATTTTGCTTATTTTTTTTTCCTCCAGAAGTATTCAAGTTTTGCTCCTAATTTGTCTGTTTTGATCTTTGCCACTCTGTTTGCCCTTGCTAACTTTACTGCTACTGTCTTGTGCCATGGAATGCAGGATGCATTCTACCCAGTTTTTAACACAAGCACCTCTTCCTTTTCTCAGATGATAGCCACACTGGCTCACTAGATATTCCATTTATTTATTTTTTGTTTTTGTTTTTATTTTTTAAAAGATTTTATTTATTTATTTGAGATAGAGAGAGAAAGCACAAGCAAGGAGGTGGGACCAAGGGAGAGGGAGAGGCCGACTACCAGATGAGCAGGGAGCTGGACAGACATGGGATTTGATCCCAGGACCCTGAGATCATGACCTGAGCTGAAGGCAGACACTTACCCAACTGAGACACCCAGGCGCCGCCCCCCCCCATTTTTTATTTTTAAAGATTTGAGAGAGAGAGAGAGTGAGTGAGCACAAGCAGGGGGAGAGACAGAGGGAAAGAGAGAAGCAGACTCCCCGCTGAGCAGGGAGCCTGATGTGGGACTCCATCCCAGGACCCCGGGATCATGACCTGAGCTGAAGGCAGACGCTTAACCGACTGAGCCACCCAGGTGTCCCTAGATGTTCCATTTCAAGCTGTGAGTCAAGTCAACCTGCTCATGAGGAGCAGGAGAGGCCTGGCTATTCCCACATG